TGAAGAGAAATTAAGAATGGAAGACAATATATACCTGCACGATGTTTATCACAGAAGGATATATTAATCACGAGTGGTACTGTGCAGTGGTTTCGCTCCGTCTTACTTTATGGCTGTGAAACATGGCCAGTGAGAGTAGAAGATATTCGTAGGTTTACTGGTTTTCGAGATCGTAAGTGTCTTCGAAGCATTGCTCGTATATCGCGGGGGGCACCCGAGTGAGCACGCTGTTTATTAGGAATCGGGTGCTAGGTAAGAATGGCAGATCAATAGATGAAGTGCTGAAACTTCATCAGTTGAGGTGGTTGGGACATGTGCTGCGTATGCCTAACCACCGACTGCGTCAGCGAGCTTTGTTTTTGTAGTATAGGAATAGATTGGAAGAAAGGTAGGGACGGCCAAACCAAAACATTGCACAAATCCATGAAGTCATTGACGAGTGGACTAAGCCTATGTCGGTAATTGTCGACTACCTTGTTGGGGTCGGCGAGATGATATAATCGATGGGTTAGAGACCTTGAATGACATGGCTCAAAACCGTTTGCAATGGCGCCGGGTGCATTTATTCTTTATGTTCTCTCAAATGCTAATCTTCTGGATTCTTCAACCCCTCTAGTTTTGACTTTCTAAACTTTTCCTCATTTGATCATACTTTCTTGAATAATATCTTTCTAATCCTAACCTCTCCGATTACTCCTAATACCTTTACTACCTCTTCTACTATTGGATTTGAATTGACAATTACATCTCTGTGCTGATGTGGTATGGCGACATGAACTGATTGTACTTACATACAAAGTTCTACGTTGCATGTGACTGACTGACTGATATATTAATCAAAGAAAATTTATGTTAAATTATTCGTAATTGCGACACGTAACTGTAAGCCCCATACCACATTAACAGAGAGATACAATTGTCAGTTCAGATCCCACAGTGGTCGATGTAGTAGAAGTATTAGTGGTGACGGAAAAGATTAGCGATCAAAGATATTATTTCAAGAAGTAGATTCTAGTGAAATGAATTTAAAAACAGAAATATGAAGGTCATGGCGAATTTAGAAGATTAGAATTTGAGGGAGAACACAAAGAGTGAATGCATCTACGTCATCCCAAATGATTTTTAGCTATCTCATTCAAAGTCTCTAAGCACGGTTACTGTTGGTTTCCCGGAACCTAACCAAGTAGTCTACACCTACCAACATGGATCAAGCCACTTGTCAGTGATTCCATGGATTTTGTATTGTAGGACACTTTTTAGAAATCTCAGAATAATTACCAATATTTGTCACTTTCTTTACTCCACTCTATCGATTTACAGAATCATGTTTTCCTGAACCCAGTCTACAAAGGTCAACTAATTAAAACTCAACTGACCTATTCCCATAAGTAGCTGAAATAATGGAACAACTATCAGATAATTAGTGTGAGGGATTTGTGTAGATTGTAGAATCTATCATATTTAAACCACAAACTAATCTTGACTAGGTTGCCTCTCGCTGGTATGTAGTGTTCACTTAAAAAACCGTAGGTCCTAGGTTGATCTATTATAATGAGGCGGCAGAAGTGCATTAATGAGAAAGTCCCAATACCAAGATGGAACAGCTATCTAATACTTTCTGGCCTCTAATTCTGGTCTAGTTTGCGATTTAAATCATGGGACTGATTTTCTGTTAAACAAACTGAAAAACAGGATCTTTTAATGTGATTATCTTTCTAATCACCTGGTCTATTTTTCCAGTACCAACTCAAGATAAACACCGATAGCGCCGCAGGAGTAATAAATAACATTATACATCATTAATGAGTTGTTTTTGATTAAATTTCATTCAGTTTTTCTTTAGGAATGATTGACTATTATGTAGCAAACTCAGCTCAGTGCAGCTATTTATATTCGTAAAAATCCTTTTAACTAAGTAAACAACGAACCCTATTAATTATAGAAACCTAGAATTCTGCATCCATTCGAATGTGCCTATTAATAAGGAGTGCCAAACCATAATGTTACTTCTGTCTGACATTAGATGTGTGTTAAAGTTTTGTCATCCTATCTATACCATACACTGATGTGAATAAAACTCCAGCTGGATCCCCCATCTGGTGCTACCTACCGGTAACCACAGCACGGGAAAAAGAAAGTGGATTAGGCATGGTGTTAGCGACCGCATCCAGCAGAACACTAATTCACTAAAAAAAGTGCTAACCAGAAGAAACGATTCAAACCATTTCTAACTCTGGCCCAGGGAGGTTAGAAGGCCTTCATTATGGAAAAGTTATAACATTTATGAAGAAAGCCCGAGTTCCCTTGGAAGTCAAGAGGCTAATGCCCCTTCTGACAACCAAACACTATCAGCACTAATCTACTATGGGATGAAGAAAAAACCAGATTCTATTTGACGTGGAAATTAGGAAAAAGCACTGGAGATGGATAGTATACACATTGAGGAAAGCACTCGACTGTGTCACAAAGCAGGCCCTCACTTAGAACCCTCAAAACCCCAAAAGAAAAGAGGAGAACCATAGAACACAGTACGTCAGAATTGGAAAAAATCATGAAAAGAATGAACAACACTTAGTTAGACTTGTAAAGTAACGTCCCACGAGAATGCTGGTTGGCGACCTAGGCTCCATTGGGGTGGTAACTGGCGTAAGTAAGTACGTACTGACGCAAATAACTTCCAAAAGCTAAATAAATTTATGTAATTTGCATCTTTAGTCAGCAGAAATAGTATCAAAATTAAAAAAAACACAGTTTATTACCTGAATTTAATTGTTTCGTCTGTTCATTAGCACTGTTTTTGTTAGACTTTCTCAACTCCATCAAACCACGTGTTCGAATCGATTTGAAAGCACCAATAGTACTGCATACTGTATTACGTCTTAGACCACCAGCATTCATATTCTCTTTGCCAATTTGATTTAAATCCACTTCACCGTTGTCATTTTCAGCATCCTGTTCATTTTCTTTATCATATTGCATACTACTATGACGATGATGAACAAGCGTACGTCGTTTTTTCAATCCAGCCAAAAAACTTAATCGACCATTGTCTTTTTTATGAGATGATATGGTTTCTGTGTTCATGCATGATAATTCATTAGGATTTTTCTTAGACTTTTAGTAAAAAAAACAGAAAAGTGATTAATTGGACAGAAAATATTCATTGTTCATGCTTAAGTTTAGTAAACTGATCAACAGAAAGCAGTGTCTGCACAAAAACAGTTCATATTGCGTCTATGAAATGGCAAACAGGAAGCTATTTGCTAACATGAAACTATATAGTAAAGTCATTTCACAATAAAGCTAACATTTAAGAGTATAGAGATAAGACCATCAGTTGTAGTCTGTACTAGTGTGGTGAACGAGAACACATGTAGGGCAACCGGATTGTATTTGACGAAAATTACAGAGTTACTCAGTAAAATCGGAAAACCATATCGTAAATCGTTCATTAGCAAAATATCAGTTCATCATATCGAACTGGACTGTTCCTGTTGCCAAATATCAATCCGTTGTCACTATTCATGCATTTCATACAAATTCCATTGTGTTCTAACTCTTCCTTTCTTGATCTTTCCCCATCTTCTGCTGCCAGACATTACGTGGACACTCACGTCATATACTACTTATAAGTGGCTCGCACCACACTAGGAATCAGTTAAATACACACCGACCTGTACTTTTTGTAGAGACGATTACTTTTCCACTCACATTTTGTTTAATCTATCTAAACGAGTCAGTCAATATAAAATATTTCGTCTCTTAATAGAATAATACAAACAAGACGTCATAAAAACTCAACTCAACTCTAAGCAAAAGCACTTAGTATTGGCTTTACTCATTGAAATCATTAATGAATCATTGTTAGGTCACCATTAGAAACCTGGAAGCACTGGATATCCGTCAAGCTTTGGTATGAGACTCATCAGCAGTGCCCACCCACGAGGTGGGCGCTACACACAGGGTTCGAACCCGGGACCTTCGGCCTTGAGCGCGAACGCTCTACCTCGGGACCACTGAGCTGGTGGCATCCAACGGTGTTGATGTGTAACTCTGACCGAACTGAGGATTTTGTGCGACCTCATCCATTTGTCTTCAGTAGTTACTGCCTACACCTGACAGGGTTGGACTGGTGTCGTGTATGAATATACTGCTTGTATATTGTATCGACAATATGATCACAATCTGATAGTAAAAGTTATGCAAATTCATGTCACATTTCTAAGCAAATGAACATACAAAGTGATAGGTCGTTTGTGTACCGAATGGAATGAGTGTATCATAATACTTCATATGAGATGGAATAGTCACACAAACATGATGATGTATATATACAGACATTTCAAATGTTTCTAAATACTTTCACAACGAACAAACGTCAAATATAAATATTCAGCATAGATCTAAGCAATATCCTTGAACATCATTTAATCTATTGATCATAGTCGGCTAAAATTAGAAATTTCCTGGAAAGAAGTGTCTATCGCCTTTAATTAAAACTCAACATTGTTGTTCAATTTTTCATTTAAAACAAAAAGCAACACACTGAATTTAAGCTACAACCATATCTTTAGATGAATCAAATGTCAAAGATTATAAGTTGCAATGCTGTAAATTTTAAATCTTGTCAAAGTTCATAATTAAAATTTTTAAAAAAGAAATTGAATTTCGGAATAAAATTTCAATGTTTCGCTATCATCGTGTGCTCAACTTAGTTTTCAATCTTATTGGCTTCCACAATATAGATAGAATTATCACTAGATAGGTTTAAGACTTTATTTCATACTCTAGACTATGAAGTTGTCAACTCCAAATAATTTAGATTGGAATAACTGATAATAAGCCAACCTAGTCTGAGTAAGCATATTTTCTCTATAACATATCGGAAAACTTCTTCAATTGTAAAGAAATGTCACACTTAAAATGAATACACTGTCATTGTAACATTGAACTAAAAAGGAAGGAACTTGAAAAGCGATTGAATTTGGTGGAAATATCATGAGGATTGGAGGCAGTTGACTTTTAAGGTGTTTACGTCTCGAAAATGTATTCTCTTTATTTAACTGGTTGATTACTGACCAGCTGTGGTAAAATTTATGAATCTAGGTCATATGGAATTGAATCTACCAGGGAATAACAGCTCAATCAATACTTTAAGAACACCTGACTTATGAGTGCCTGATAGCTAGCAGCCTAGATCCAGGGTTTCCTACCGACTTCCTCCAACCTTCATCTTACCTGTACTTCCTTAGCTTTATTTGCTCGGGAGAGAGTTAATAGTGCGATAGAAAAATATAAGGTTAAGCAAGAGAGAAAAGTAACTTCTGATTGAAACAATCCTAAAATTATTAATTTTCCATTGTTTATGCGACTAGACCTACCCTCGAAAGTTTGGTCAACAGAAAATAGTTTCAAAATGACAGGCTTAGAAAATTTATGTAGAACTAAAAATTACAGAGAAATGCTTTAACCAATAGTCAACCGTTAGGATATTCATATACTTACGTATCCCTTAATAATCCGATAAGAAAGCACTGGTATTTTATGAAGAACTTAAAGCTAAGCATTATTCTGTAAATAAATTCAGATACCTTTATCAATATGAGCCTTATTATTAATAAATTCAAAATACTGTCTAGTTAAATAGACACTGATTGTTCAAACATTGATTTGCAAACTTTACTTTATAGCACAAAGTCATAGAATCAAGACCAAAGGTCCCGGGTTCGAATCCTGCGAGGTGTAGGAGTCGTGGATGCGCACTGCTGATGAGTCCCATACCAGGACGAAACGGCCGTCTTTCAGTGCTTCCAGGTTTCTAATGTTGGTCTAACAATGATTGATTGATGATTTCAAATGTGTGAAAACACAAACCTCCAAAATACAAAGTATAAATCAAATGCTAAACTGCATGAATTTTCCATGTGAATTAAACAAACCTAAAAATAATAAATTTCAAATCAAACTACTACACACATTATAAAAATAAATGAACAAACAGTCGATTAAAAGAAGAACACCCAGCTAGACAGTGTAAATATAAATTACTTACAAACTCTCCAAAACTTCTTATCAAATATTTATTACGACCTCTTGAAGAACATGACAATGATGATGATGATGATGATGATGATGGTGTTCTCCTGTTTGCATAGTTTAATTCACAAGATGAATTTTGGAAAATCTTTTTTTTAAAAATAAATTTATGCCTCACTATTGTTGGTGTTCGTTGTTTAAAACAATCTATCTCACAGAGTTTTAAATGATTAAAACAAATTGACATAATTTATTAAGTGCCATCCATGAACAACAACAAACAATCAAACTTGTAGGAATGATAGTAGTATGATTTAAAACAAATATCATTTGTACAATGTTTCAATTTATTGAACAAGTTTGTCTATTGTTTACACAAAAGAAAAAAGTGCACGTGTGCTCATTCGTCTCTTTTTTACTTCGATATGAATACCATTTTATACGCGCTACTTTTATGTACATATGAATCAACTCGGATCGATCGATAATGAATAGACATCTTTGAATGGATCTCATAAGTGCATCCAACTATTATTCAATGGAATAACCAGTTGGCCTACCTACTAGGCAAGTGCATTCTTTTTATCTGGATATGTAAATAACCAGTTTATTATTATGATTACTATTACTATTAAAACTTACTGAAAGATATCAGTGCTTCATATTTTACACGTTCTCTATAAACAGTGGATTTCAACTTAGACTAGCTCTCAGCTTTACTGCATAAATGAATGTTTATACCAGTCATAACTGTACGGCATTTCAAGTTCAATTGATTGCCTGACTTTGATACAAGTATATAACTATTTAATGGAGAACGCAATCAAATATCATTGATTCTCCTCGGTTAAATTACAGAAAAAGCAATACTGGTAAGGTTTTTTATTCAGTAAGTCAGGTAGTTGCAACGTAGAACTTCGTATGTATGTATATCAGTTCAAGTTGCCATACTATATTAGCTAGCACACAGAGGGATGGAAATGTCAATTCAAATTCCATAGTAGTAGAAGTATTCTCAGTAATCGAAAGGATTAGAGTTCAAAGATACGATTTGAGAGGTAAATTTTCTAGTATTACTGTTCTCCAATTGACCTACGTGGTAGAGTTGGACCTAAAGGAACACATGTTTCAGCCAATACAGCTAGGTTGGATTATCGTAACAGGCAAGCTCGACCACCAAGTCAAGGTAATAGCTATGGTTGGAAAGATGTTTTATTAAGGAAACGTTAAGTCAGTTGATAGTTTAGCAAACCTTGATACTGAATATTTCAATTCACTGTAAACTTTTATTCACAGATATTGAAGTTTGCGTCATGCTATTATCGTTTACAATCTTTTGTTTTAAATGCGTGTCACAGCTGTTACTGAAATAAGAATGAAACCTAACTCCTTAGACTTTGTCAAAAATTTTTATGTCTTCTGGTATCACTTTATCCGGGCTTGAAACAGGTAATAACCCTAGAGGTGCTCCAGAAGATACAAGTGCTTATTAACGGTTGTCTAAACAAAATACTTCAGATCCGTTGGCCAACCATCATCAGCAGCAACCTACTCTGGAAGAGAATAAACCAGATTCCATCAGAGGAAGAAGTCAGAAAGAAGTCCTGGAAGTGGATAGGACATACATTAAGGAAAGCACCTATCTGCGTCACAAGACAAGACCTCACTTGGAATCCCCAAGGACAAAGGGAAAGAGGAAGGCTAAGGAACATATTACGCCGAGTAATAGAGACAGGCATGAGAAGAATGAACAAAAATTGAACGGAAGTAGGGAGGCCCTGGACAGAGTAGGTTGGAGAAAACTGGCCGGCGGCCTATGCTTCGTTGGGGGTAACAGGCGTACGTGTGCAACCAAGAATCTAAGTAAGTAAGGAAGCAAGTAAGTAAGTAAGTAAATAAGTAAGAACAAAAACTCATGTCATTTCGGTGAATATTATGCCAAACATCAACCTCTGGAAACGTTTATAATTTTTGGA